TAAGATCTGTAGTTGATATTCCAAGTTCTTTCATTGTGCGAATTGGAAGGATGTTGATTCCAGATCCTCCATCGACAAGGATTCTATTCACCATTTTCTCACGTGCAAAACCAACCATGAATAAAGGGCGATTATTAAATGTGTCACCAAACAGAAGATCATCGTCAGAGAATGTGATTTTGGCCATACATGCATTTTCGACTCCAGGAGATGAATGTGGAGCATCTTTTGGTGATGGACATGATGGATTTTCAACTTTAGGAGACAGCTTTGGAGAATTTTTTGGTGATGGACATGATGGAGTTTCATCTTCCGCTTTTTTTTCATCGACATTACAACATAGAGCTTTTGTGCCATCGCATGTGAACTTGGTGTAACACCAATTTGGCAAATATTCTCCTAATGTAACGGGTCTTCGCAGCTCTTGGTAGTGGTGCACCTTTATTTCCTTCTTCTTTGAATGCACGATCAAAGTTTTGGTTTTGGGTCTCCTTACCATCTTTTCCCTGACGTGTTGCTTTGTTGACTCCTTATACAAACTCACATTTCTGCGTCTACGGCGAGTCACAAGAGTCCAGCCCCAATCATCAAAATCATCTACTAGGTCTTCATCTTGTCTTGTTGATCCCTCTCCTACACAGGCCACATCACTTAGTATAGGAAGAGATAACAAATTATTTACTTCAATGAGCTCGAAGTCTCCAAACTTAATCATTCTTGTCTGATTGGTGTTTGGAATGTCTTGCTCCATATTTCCTTCAACAAAATTGCAGGTCATGACCGGATTGGGTAAGTAAGAAACGACACTGACTTGGTTTGGACTCAATTTCTCATTTTCAAGTTCAATCTTCCCTTCGTGAGCTAAGTCCATGATTTTATCCTTGAAGACGGAGCATTTCTCGATAGGGTGTCCAACCAGCCGGTGATATTTGCAGTATTTTGGATCATCACTCCTCCATGCTTCATCTGGTCATTTCATCTATGGTAACTCAAAAAGTTTCATCTCAAGGAGTTCATCAAAGATTGCGGAAACATCTGAGTCAAGAAATGGGTAGTCCTTCCGCTGCATTTCCTTCAAGGTGAGCTTTTGATTTGTCCTTCCTTCAAAAGAATTCGCTTTTGCGCTCTGCGTATTGCCCACCCTTGTGGTGAATTTCACATGAGAGGCATTGACGTTCATGGATTCTTTGTTTTCAGTTTTTGGCAAATATTTTCCCACTTTCTTGAATTATTGTCTTTCTTTGACTTTGCGGAGTTCGTGGACATGTGGTGCTTCAGTTCTGACCGACGATATGCTCAACTCCATATCATGAGCGCGAGTGGCCAACTCTTCAAAAGTTTTAGGCTTTATACCTTGCAAAATATAGCGGAGACCCCAATGCATACCTTGAATGCATATCTCTATGCTCGAAGCTTCACTAAGACTGTCTTTACAGTTTAGACTTGCATGCCTCCATCGGTTGATGAAGTCAAAGACTGGTTCTTCATTTCGCTGACGTGTGTTTGTAAGTTCCACCATGCTTACAGTACGTCTTGTGCTATAGAAGCGGTTGAGAAATTCTTGCTCCATTTGTTCCCAATTATCAATGGAACCAGACTCAAAGTCCGTGTACCAATCAAAAGCATTACCCTTAAGAGAGTGGACAAATTGTTTGACGAGGTAATCGCCGTATGTTCCAGCATTGTTGCAGGTTTCAATGAAGTGCGCCACATGTTGCTTTGGGCTTCCCTTACCATCAAACTGCTGAAACTTTGGAGGTTGATAACCGGCAGACATTTTCAAACTATCAATCCTTGCAGTGTATGGCCTTGCATATGTCAAAGAGGATTTTGTAGCAACCTCGTACTTGTGTTTGATGGTACCCATGATGAACTCCCTGATTTGGTTGATCGAGATTGTTCCTTCCGAAGAAACTTGGATCTCTTTAGCATATTCAACTTGCTTTGTGGGGCAATCGATCGTCTCTTGGACTTGCGGACGTTTTCCAGGTGCGTGACTTGATTCTTCATCCATCATACCCTCCACCCTATCAGTTAGCTTAACAATTCGAGCATCTTGATCTTGAACATACTTGGTCAAGCCTTCAATAGCTCTTGTCAAGCTCACAAGTTGTTTTTCTATGGATGAAGCGTTAGTCACCATTGCGTGCATTACCATAGTAGGTGGCGAAGAGTAGCGTTGATTTTCCTTAACATGAGATGCAAACATGTTATGTGGGGTAGATCCTGTGCTTAAGACATCATTGTCAGCCGAAGCGATGGGCTTTTCCTATGTAGATGGGCTCAATTGGGCAAGAACCCTCTCGACCATTTCGGTGATGTTTTCCTTTGCAGCTTTTGCAGGAGACTTCACATGTTTTGGAGACAAACCAAAGACAGTAGCAGATTCGGACGACACTCGTGAGGCTTGTTGTCCCAGCAATTTGTCTTGGTTCTTTGTGATAGGTCCCATGCTTCCCGCAGTAACATCGAGGATGTTTTCGACATCGACGCCGAACTTGGATCCATCAATTTTTGCAGATGCAGATGCGAATACAGATGCAGATGCAGATTTCGATGCTGATGCATATTTTGATGCAGATGGAGATTTTGATCCAGATGCGAATACGGATGTAGATCCAGATTTGGATGCAAATGCGGATTTCGAGTTGATCTTCTTGCAAGTCATCTCGGTGTTTTTGAACTTTGGTTGTCTTGAAGAGAAGAGATGAGAGGTAAAGATTGTCCCACTGGGCGTGCCAATTTGTAAGCATCTAAAGTTTCAATCCTGAAATACAGTAAACAGGAAAACAAAAATAGCAAGCAAACAATAATATTTGTATTTGAATAAATGCGAAGGTTACAATCTTTATAAAATCTCTTAAAAAAAGATATGTAATCCCTTGATTCTTCTCTCCACAGATGTTCTTGATTTGGCGGAATACTTGCGGCTCAATACTTGGAGCGAAGACTTCTTTGTATGCGGAAAACTTGCAGATCACCAATGAAGAGCAACTATGTATTTCTGTGTGTATGTATGTGTGTATCTTTTGGTCTTATGAAGACCTCTTTATATAAGCTTGAGCTAGGACTTTAGGGGTATTTTGGTCCAAGCAATTCTGACCCCTGGGCCTAAAGAACATGAGTTGGGCTCATCTTGTCAATTTAATGGACTGGCCCAAATGTTATTTGGACTTGATTTAAGTCATATAATTCTTACATAAATATTAATCCGACTTTATTAACCAGTAACTTGACTTGGTCAACGTATCATGAATTTAAGATTTAATCCAAATTTAGTATGGATTTATCAATAAAACTTCACTGTCTACACAGAGTTTTTAAGGAGAATAAGTCCACAGTGAAGGATATACCACAAAGAGTTTCTTGTGTTAGAGCTATTGTCCCAACTAGGCTATTGTAAGATAGATGTAACTTTTAGTTTTCTGAGTTCATTAAGCAAGTAATTGTTGGTCTCTGAGAGAAGTTATTTTAGTAGTTCTAGCTTAGTTTGTAAATATCCATTTTGGTGATTAATAAAATTACTAATTACCAAAAAAAAGAGATTTTTTACTTATTAAGTAATGACATGGATATTGGTAGATGAAACTATTAGTTGCAGGTGCATTTTGGGACCAAACACTAAGGATAATTTTAGAGATAAGTGTCAAAAACACACTTAAACTATCCTTTTTTTTTTTGAGTTTCATACCTAAACTATTGAGAGTTTGAATTTAATACCTAAACTATCACTTATTAGTTTAAGAAACACACTTTAGTGACATGTGTAATACTTTTTCACATGGCATTCCACATGGATAAAATATTTCACCCTTGACAAAAATTAAATAATAAACTATTAATATTAATTAAAAAATTAAATTATTACTATCCCCCAAAAAATTATTAAATTATTTTTCTTATCCCGCTCCACCTCCTCCTCCCCCCCTCCCTCACAATCTTCCATCCTTTTATTTTTAAAATTTCTTTTATAAAATATTTTTAAAAATATCATACTTCACCCTCTCCCCCCCCCAAACCACCCACTCATTCCCCCAAAAATTGATATTATTTTATTTTAAAATAAAAAAATTCTACCCCATCCTATTTATCCTTCTACTCCTAGTTTTTTTTTTTTTTTTTTTTACGTTTTTCTTGTTTTGTGTTGGATATGTACTTATATTTTTCATTTTTTTCCAACTTGTGTATTGAATATAACATAAATAAAAAATTTATTTTTAAAAAAGTCTCCTGGCGGCAAGTAAAACATACTTCCCTAAAATTATATATGTAAATATATATAACACAAAACGAGAAAAAAAATGGAAACTGAGGATTAGGTGGAGTGGGGTAGAATTATTTTATTTAAAAAAAAATAATAATATCTAAATTATTATTTGGAGGGTGAGGAGGGGGGGGGGAGATGAAGTAAAAAATTATTAAATACTTTTATAAAAGAAATCTAAGCAAAATAAAGGTAAAAAATGTGGGGGGAGGGGGGGGGGGGTTACGATGTGAGGAAGTGATGGAGTGGGGTAAGGAAAATATTTTACATTTTATTTTATAAAAAATATTTTTTATTTTTTATAAGATAATAATTCTTTAATCTTTAATTTTAACTAATACTAATAATTTATTTATTTTTTATCTATGTTGAGTGTGATGTGACAACTTTTTTTAAATAAAAGAAAGAGTATAGTACACACAACATAAAGAAAGTGTAATAAAAGAGAGAGGTGAGTTTCTCAAACTAATAAGCGTTAATTTAGTAATGGAATTTATTATCTCAATAGTTTAGGTATGAAACAAAAAAAAATTAGCTTAAATGTGTTTTTGACACTTTATCTCATAATTTTATACCAAACTATTAACCAAAGATATTTTTATTCCATTTCACAAAATTTAATCACATTTTGATTTTTCTTTTATAAAAAAATGCAAGACAAGGGACTAAAATGTAATAATTGGAGAAGTAATTGTATATACATTACATACTAGTGCTTTGCGGCCCTTATCGTTTTGTTTGTGGAGTGAGTGGGTATGGAGCTTCAGTTTGCAGGCGCATCGTATTTGATGAAAGAAGGTATAAAACCGCGAGGTTTGATTATCAAATCATCAAGTAGTACTTCACAAGGGCTGCAGAAATGTTCAAAGAAAAACCTTTCTCGTATACTTAGAACAGAAGCCGCCATTAGAGGTATCCAGAGGAAAGCCAACTCAGAAAAATACACTAATCTTTGGCCCAAGGCCGTTTTGGAGGCTCTCGATGATGCTATTAGGGACAATAGATGGGACTCTGCTCTTAAGGTTCCATTCCTTCATCCATCTTGGTTTTTACAATACGAAGAAGCTTGAAACAACAATTTACTCCGATTGAATAAACTGTTTCATACTGTTTTTTCATTTTTCTCATGAATTCTAGGACTACCGCACTATTATAGAGCTTAAACACTCATTCATTTCTCATGATTTAAGTTTCCTTGTGTCTCCAGTATTTTATATTCTGATTCATGTCAGAAAATTTCAAGTAGTGGTCTTACCCTATTGCTCTTTTAACAACAGGAATGCTCAACGTGACTGGGCAATTGTCTGATGAAGCATTCTACTGTTTCAACAACATGAACATCCATAAATTAATAATATAGCAAATATTATAAGATTCAGATACAGATGCAATGCAATTTATTCTTTCTCAATTCATAGTAATAGATAACTAATCTTGCCTGTGTATCCCTAATTTTCATTCAGCTCCGATGATTTAGATTGGCCATAAAATTCCTTCTCTGTTGCTTCCTTGTATCAACTCGTAGGTTTCTGTCAAAATTCGTGTTCTTATATCTTGGACATAGCCTCAATCTTCATGGCAGTCACAATGCATTCATATCACTGTTGTTAATTTATCTGCACCTGTGCAGCAAAGGCTATAGCCTAAAATATTATTGTCAGATACAGTTTTCTTTGTTACAAAATCAGTTAAGTTTCACTTTCAAATAGCACAATTGGTCATCTTTCTTCGTGCCTTTTAGTGAATTGATGCCTTTTAGTTAATTGGTATAAATTTCTAAGACTGTCTTGAAAAACTTCTCTTCAAGCCCCCTCATTGCAAGCCTTTCATTATTCTTCTGCTTATACTCTTGATCACATGCTCCACTAGAATGGAGTGGAGGCTAGAAAAATGGGTGAACTATTGTGTGTTTAAGGTTTAGTATTTTAATTCTAAACATGAAGTTGTAATTAGTATTTCTTTCCTTTGGGTTGCATTGTTTTCATTTATGAATCTTCCGTTGCATACACGTGTTAAAGTCTATGTCCCCAATAGTATGGACCAAGGCTTAGTCGATTTGACTCACCCAGAAGCTTATGTAGTTGTTACTGTGTTCCAAATAAAACTGTAGATAAAACTCGTATTTGTTGTTTTAGCAATTTTTCTGACAGAAATGTGTTCTTACTCCTAGATTTTCGACCTTCTTCGGAAGCAACATTGGTATGAGCCAAGATGCCATACATATGCTAAGCTTTTGGTAATGCTCGGCAAGTGCAAGCAGCCAAGTCAAGCTAACTTTCTTTTTGAGATTATGCTAGCGGATGGGCTTCAACCAACAGTAGATGTTTATACTGCACTTGTAAATGCATATGGTCTTAGTGGCCTCCTTGATGAGGCGCTGCGAACTATTGATGATATGAAATCAGTTAGTAATTGCAAGCCTGATGTGTATACTTACTCGATCCTAATTAAATGCTGCACTAAAGTTCGTCGTTTTGATATGATTGAATACATTTTGGCTGAGATGGTGTATTTGGGAATTGAATGTAGTTCCGTGACATACAATACCATAATTGATGGCTATGGTAAAGCTAAGCTGTTTGAGCAGATGGAAAGCTCCTTGACCGATATGATAGAAAATGAGACTGCCTTTCCAGATGTTTTCACCTTGAATTCAGTAATTGGGTCCTATGGCAGCTGTGGGAAGCTTGAGAAAATGGAGAAGTGGTTTGAAGAATTTCAGGTAATGGGAATAAAGCCAGATGTTATGACATTTAACATTCTAATCAAGTCATATGGAAGAGCTGGCATGTACCAGAAAATGGAGTCTGTACTTGATTTTATGAGGAATCGGTTCTATTCTCCAACAGTTGTGACTTACAATATCATCATTGAGACATTGGGGAAAGCTTGCCTCATTAAGAACATGGAACAGTTTTTCCTACAGATGAAGCATGAAGGGGTGAAGCCAAGTTCATTCACTTATTGCTCTCTTGTCAGTGCTTATAGTAGAGCTGGACTTATGGAAAATGTTGATTCAATCATGAGGCAAGTTGAGAATTCAGATGTAGTTCTAGATACTCCTTTTTTCAATTGCATCATCAGTGCTTATGGTCAAGCTGGTGATATAGAGAGGATGGTGGCATTATTCTTGGAAATGAAGGTCAGAAAATGTAAACCAGACTACATCACATTTTCTACCATGATTCAGGCGTACAATTCACAAGGGATGACTGAAGCTGCAATGGACTTGAAGACAAAAATGATTACTTCTTGTGGTACTTGTACTATTTAGCCTCTGTTTCTCCTGTCCATATCATTTTTGCTTCATAAAGTATGAATCCTCTCAGAAATACAACTTTAACTTTATCAAAAAAAAAAGTATGAATCCTCTCAGACTCACAGTTAGTAACATAAATCCAGCTATTTAGGTTAGCTCTATGATATTTCTAGCTAAGTGCAGTTGATAATAAAAGGAAGTGTTATTCTCTAATAAATCAGCTTTTATTTTTCGCAGTCATGTGTACTAAGTTACTCCCTCTGTCCCAATTTATGTGACTTACTTTCCTTTTTAGTTAGTCCAAAAAAGAATGACACATTTCTATATAAAGTAACAATTTAACTATAAAATGTCAATTTTATCCTTAATGAAATGATTTACAGCCACACAAATTTCTATCATTAATTTTGGACCACAAGTTTTAAAAGTCTTCATTTCTTTCTTAAACTTCGTGCCAAGTCAAACTACCTCACATAAAATGGGACGGAGGGAGTATCATTCAATGAACTGCTTGATATCTGACACTTTGTTGTTACATTTTATTAGAATCAAATGAATTGATCAGCAGCTAGTACAATCTATCTGCTACCGAAGGAAACCGTTCACTTGGAACTCTGTTCATCAATCTCAATGTTGTGAAAGTGGGCAGAGTGTTATCTGCATGTGAGTTTGTAAGTGTGAATGTCTATTTTCTCTTGTTCACTGCCTTTGAGAATCCATCTTTACTCATTAAATGGCCTAAAACTGAAAGGCTTTCAAGCAGTCAAAGTGGTCAGCCAAAGTTGAAGGGCTTTTATGAACTCAAACATCTTGCTTTTGGTTTGTAAGACTGAAGAGTTAAACTTATTTCAAAATGCAAATTAAGTTCCTCTCTTTTTGTTTTTTGGATGTGAAATATTGTTGCTCTTGCTAATTCTCTCTCTATATATATACATATCTATTTAGTTACTTAATGAGAAATGTCATATATATTTGAGTTTGGGTACTTCATCGTAACAATGATATCTGTTTGTGTAGAAGGATGCTATAGCAATCCGTTAATCAGTTGGCATGGATCCAAGGAAAAGAACATAGTGAGTCTATTTGCGGCAATGTGATTTCTCTTACATGTTTCTGTGAACTTTCGACGGCCTTAACCCACAACTAGAGAGATTTGCAGTTTCCTAAAGGTCTTGTTAGGGAATAGTTTTGTTTAACTTCTCTGAGTAGCTTTACAGTTTGTTTGCCTATGTATGTTATTTCTTGACTCGTTTTTTCTTGTATTAGCATATTTATATACAGGCAAGAGAGGGAGGGAGCAGTTAAAGCTCTTCTGTTTACTATGTTCACGAAACAGCCAAACCGTGCTGTGATGTCTGTAGTGCAACCTGTGGGTTCATCTTCAGTTGAAAACCTCAGTGATGCTTGGGTGAATGAAGATTTTAACAGTAGTGGGTGATTATGATGGATAATTAACTCCTCGGTAACATTGAGGATCTACACTATTTCAGCTGTCACTGTGGGGTTGTCTATTGCAGTACTAATAGTCATGCAGCAAGGCCTTTTTTTTTACTAACCAGAGCTGACTCACAACCATACATATGGGTTTTGAACAGGTCAGCGATGTAACAGGACTGACTTCTTTCGAAAGAGCAAAGCCATGGGACAGATGGAGCATTATTAAGACACTTGCTGATTCTTCCTTCTAAATTGGGTTGTTTTACCTCTTACTGGTTGCAAGTCTTGAGTAAACAGATATATAGAGCAATGTAGTGTAAGATAGTTATACCATTTTCCAGCCCCTCGCCATTTCACATGTTACTGTGGAAATGAATTACAATATTATGTTTGATATACTACTTGAGCAGCAGGTGAACATTACTTATTTACTTTGCTTTCTTAGAAGTGGATTAAAATGTCCAGACACCGTTTGACTTTCTGTAGAGCTGCAAGCACCAAACGACCTGTAGATGGACCTTATTGCAACACATACAACCACTCCAATTTGTAAAGAATTCTTCTCCTAAAAGCTTTCAACAGTGTCCTTCAAACTGATCTCTAGAAGAGTGAAATTTATGCCTAAGCTTTTTTCCCCTTCCTAAGGCCGAGAAGGTGGCACCATAGGCAGCACCTCCTTATACCTACATCCCACATTCAAGAATTTGAGATACCAAAATTCTCAGTACGAGTTAATTAAGCTATAATGAATGAAAATGCAGAGTCAATTTCTTATGTAATTTGAAGACTTCAATTTCTATGTTATCAGTATCTTTCATGTTTATTTACTTTAGATTCACCAAATTACACATTTGTTACTTCTTGTTGTGAGGCTGTATTTGAATTGTATGTAGAGTTAGTGAGTTATAAGAAAAAAAAATTGTTTTATGCACACCAAGATACAAATTGTTATAGTATAGTGGATATTACATGTTAAATAACTCAAAACATATCAACAACTTACTTTCCAGGGATGCTGAGTTTGTTTTTCTTTCACAAATTGGGTCTTGTGCTTTTTCTAAAGGGAATTTTCATATATGGCAAAGAGAAAAAACATAATTGGCCTATATAGCTACGGTATACCTAATTACGCTCCATAACTATTGTTTCATTTGCTATGGTGACTAACGTTTGTATATCTCGAATTTTTTATTAAAAATTATACAAATTCCTTTTTTAAAATAGATAATAAAAAAGCGGTAATTTTGGTTACAAAAAATTGAAAACAATCCCATAAAGTAAGGTAATTTATAATTGTATTTGATTATAATTTATTGTCTAAAATGACTTCTTCGACACGAAGAACACCATAATTGTATATGTATTTGAAAACTGTTTTTCATTCATATATAGATTAATTATATGTATTTGTATACAAATATGTATTATTATTGAGTGGATGAATTGTGTATGTATCTGATATATGTATATGTATATAAATTATTATTTGTATAACACTGTACGTGTGGGGCATTCTTGAAATGCTTCTTTGAGTAGAAATCTAACATCCTAAAATATTATGTCCAAAAATAAGTTCGTATAAACATATTATATACAATTATTTGTATATGTATATAAATCATTAAAATGGATAAATAAACAGTTGTATATAAATATTGAAAATTATACATTGGATTCGTATAAGGTATTGTGGGTGATAGTATACATGAAAATGAAATATTTAAAACAAAAAAGAATATAGAACCGATTGTCACGACCCAGACCGTCGTGATTGACACTCACACTAAATCTCCGGTGGGAGAACCATTACTACAACCCAAACAAACAAATTTTATGAAAACTATGGCATTTAAAGATACAGAAGCAGGTTTAAATGACTATAAAAATACGGAGTTCCCATAAACTCCAAAGGTTTAAACAATTACCTAACCAAACTAATGCGGAAGAACAACCCTTAGAACCTGAAAGTCAATGTACCACAACTCTACTAACGACAAGTCTAAGAACAAGGGTACAACCCCGAAACTAAACAACACCTTAAACAAATGGTCTGAGTCCGAAAAGAGTAGACTTAAACAAGAAGATCCATGGCAGCCCGAAAGAACTGGCTCACACTTGAATTCGGTCATGCTCAATAGTCATCTAGCTAAGGTCTATCAATAGCCACCTGAAGATGCCCTGTACTCAACAAAGATAAGAGCAAGTGCATTATCAGTACACAACTACAGCGTACTGGTAGGATCACATGGCTATCCCAATAAGTGAAACACATGCAAGTATCCACAACATTATAAACAAGCATATACCGAACATATACAATATTAGTCATCTTTTCAGAATCAATGTAGCACCCCACATTCTCAATAATTCACATTGGTCATCAATTTAGAGCAACATACGGTCTTCCAATATCAATCATCATTAGATATGAACGTAATCATCGCAAGTAGATATACAACACAATTCAATGGTCCTCTCACGGAACCTAATTCAATGGTCCTTTCATGGAACCCACACCCAAACTGTTAGCATATCGGAACGTGATACCCAATCCACTATAAAAATATGGAGTTCCCATAAACTCCAAAGGTTTAAACAATTAACTAACCAAACTAATGCGGAAGAACAATCCTAAAACCTGAAAGTCAATGTACCAAAACTCTACTAACGACAAGTCTAAGAACAGGGGTACAACCCTGAAACTAAACAACACCTTAAATAAATGGTCTGAGTTCGAAAAGAGTAGACTTAAACAAGAAGATCCATGGTAGCCCGAAAGAACTAGCTCACCCTTGAATCCGGTCACACTCAATAGTCACCTAGCTGAGGTTTACCAATAGCCACCTGAAGATACCCTGTACTCAACAAAGATAAGAGCAAGTGCAGTATCAGTACACAACCACAATGTATGGGTACGATCACGCGGCTATCCCAATAAGTGAAACACATTCAAGTACCCACAACATTAAAAACAAGCATATACCGAACATATACAATATTAGTCATCATTTCAGGATCAGTGTAGCACCCCACATTATCAATAATACACATTGGCGATCAATATAGAGCAGCATACAATCTTTTAATATCAATCATCATTAGATATAAATGTAATCATCACAAGTAGATACACAACACAATTCAATGGTCCTCTCACAGAATCCAATTCAGTAGTCCTCTTATGGAACCCACACCCAAATTCTTAACATACCGGAACGTGGTACCCGATCCAATGTTTATGCCGGAATGTGGCAACCGATCCCATAATTATGCCGAAACGTGGCAGTCGATCCCATATTTATGCCGGAACGTGGCAACCTATCCCAATTAGTGTGTCGGATTGTGACACCCTCCCATTCAACAAACCACAATCACAATCGCAATGTATTTTCTCACAATCATACAACAAGAGGTGATTCATGGCATACAATTATTCAATTATCCTCATTTACGATTAGGGTGATCAATAATGCAACATTCACATACATACATGCATTATAATGAAGCAATTACAAACATATATCACACCAACATGAAATCACAACCATTACCTACATTGAATCCAAGCTTGAATCCTCTAAGGCACCTGAATCTTCCCTTTCCGAATTCTTCCCGCTTGTTCGTGGTCTAAAAACAACAATTTATACGCAAGGATCAACAATCAAAGGTCTAATTATCTGAATTATGACAAACTCAATAACCCTAGACCAAACCCTTGGTCCCCACACCTAAATTAGGGCTTTTTCCACCATAAATTCCATATCAAAACCCTCCCCCATCGATAATTACCCAAGAAACTGAGTTCTACGGATCGAAAAATAGATTCGGGGAGTGAAAACATTACTTTAGCCTCAAGAATGGTGAAAAACGGTCAAGAACTCGTCTGGGGTTGTTCCTTAGCTCTAAAAATAAAAAAGTGCAGAATAAAGTCATTTTGGGGTTTATTTACGACTTTAAGTCGCGTCTGGCCTGCCACAATGACCCTCACCCCACTATAGCGGCACCGCTCGAGTGACCAAAACCTTCGCCAAAGCGGCTTGCACGAAATAGTGAGCTATTTTAATAATTCCAAGACCCCCTTTTCACAACACACCTTTGACCAACAACGCTCAGAAAATACCGTTCACGCTAAGATCGATTCCGAGAGTTCTACTTACCTGAATTCCATTCTGTAAAGTCGTACAAATATCTTAACAACTTATCTAACTACTCATGTAATCAAAATCATAAATAAATCACCTGATTGTTATCAGATTTCCCTACACCTTAATGACTCCGATTTCATCCAAATCTAGACTATGTTGGGAAATTCCAAGTTACTACGAAAAAGTTTTCTGGCCCCAATTCTTTTCCCATTGGCTTTCTATAACTACGGGAACATGTCGTTACAATAGATACCAATTTACCCATCACTCGTCCCTGAGTGACAAACTAGGAGAAAAGGACTAAAGCAAGAATATAGTAGTATCTGAATCATCGAATAACTAGGGATACTTGTCCCACATACATTTTATGTTGACTCTGGGCTGCTAGAAGCTTAGATTGAATACTTTTCACCTTACCCTGAACAACTTTCACCAAATCAACTCTCAAAGGTTTCACATCTTCAACCTCAAACCAACCAATTGAACACCTACACATCCTCCCATACAATGCCTCAATGAAGTCATCACAATACTCGAGTTATAATTGTTGTTGTATGTACATTTAACTAACAACAAAGTTATTCCCAACAACCACCA